GGGGGGGGGGAGACGAGGGACGGACGGGCAACATAACTAATGTGATTAATACCAGTAAGTTGTACATATGGAATGTGTTACATTTATATATATATATATACATATATATATATCGAGCATACACACACACACATATTCCTCCAACCCAAACTGAACTCACTGCCATCGATTCAATGCTGACTCCTAGCGACCCTGTAGGACAGGGTAGACCTGCCCCCTCTGAATTTCTGAGACTGTAACTACTTACTGGAGTAGAAAGCCCTGTCTGTCTCCTGCACAGGGGCTGGTGGTTTCAAACTGCTGACCTGGCAGTTAGCAACCACTACGCCACCATGGCGCCTCTATCTATTCTTGCAACAATGAAAATGTATACAGGAGACCCAGGGAGATTAACCCATACCCAGAAAGACTGGAATGAGGGCTGGGGTGGGGTTGTGCAAGTAGCTCATCGGAAAGCCTTTCACACCAGGGTCAGTAAGTGTCGATGTGGAGTGTTGGCTCATCCCAGGAGAAGCTTGGCTGTAAAGAGCTAGAGATGTTTTGTGCAGTACCGATGGCAAGAGGGAGAAAAAAGAATATAATTGGGTTCTAAGTTCTCTCAAGCTGGCGACCACAGAGCCCAGGGGTCGTAGGGTCCGAAAACACACAGACCTGGGTTCAAATCCTGGGTCTCCACTTAGCAGGCCGTTCCCCTTGAGCTGCTCCTAGCTCCTATTTCCTCACCTGTATATAGAATCTTCACCACACTTTTCAGGTAGCAACTGCAGCAAAAGAGAAAATATTTGCCAAGTGTCCAGCACTCCCAAATGCAAACTTTAGAGCAATTAGGCAAGGGCACATCGATTTTTAAGGCTCATTTATCAGTTGCAAATAATAATAGCAATAATAATAATAATAATGACAGCAACTATTTATAAAACACTTACTATGTCCCAGACACCCCCGCAAAGTGTTTTGCAAGCTGTCCCTCCTCCGCCTCTCCCTTTGGCTCACTCTACCCTGACCACACTGGCCTCCTTCCTGGCTCCTTGGAATGTCCCTCACGCTCCTGCCCCAGGACCTTTGCATGAGCTGTTCTCTACTGCCTGGAATTCTCTCTCCCGAGAACACCTCCTTCACGTCTTCATATCTTTGTGAGATGCCACCTTCCCCAACCACACTGTTTAGAGTTAACTCCCCCTTAAGTCCATTTTTTGTCTGTTTCTTGACTTTTCCATCCACATTAGCCTTCAGCTCCAGAGAAGCGGGCATTGTGCGGTGTCTGGGAGACAGCTGAAGTGCCCCTGCGGGCTCCCAAGACTGTCACTCTCCAGGGGAGTAGAAAGCGTCCTCTTGATGGTTTCGAACTGCTGACCTTGCGGTAGCAGCCCAACGGGTAACCACTGCGCCACCAGGCCCCTTCCGGAGGCGCTCAGCCCTTTGGCGGTCGGGAGGCCGTGGTTTCTCCCCGGCCCACTTCGCACGTGAGGACACTGAGGCAGAGCAGGGCTGCGCTGGTCGGAAAGAGAGGCCCCGCGAGGGCGGCGGCACCTGTGGTCGGGAAGACCAGACGCCGGCGGAAGCCCCCTCCGGCGACGCGCGCTGCCCCCAGCGAGCCCCCCGCGGGGGCCGCCGCCGCCGCCGCCGCCGCCGGGACAGCCCTGCGTCATGGCCGCCTCCAGACGGCGGCCCAGGGCCGAGGGCGGCGGGCGCGCGAGGTGACGCGGGGGCGCCAATACTTGATCTTTATAATCCAGTGCTTCAATTCCCACTGGAAGGTGTGAATTCTGCACTCTACCTTGAGCCACCACGACCCTCAACATAGTATTAGGAATAATCCTTTCAATGTCTTGAGTTGAAGTTTCCTAGGACACTCACAAGTGGAGAGGAAGAAGGAGATGAATTCAGGGTCGGAGCTCAAGGTGGAGAGCCGGGGACATCGGTATAATTTTGAGAAATCTCGTATCAAGATTCACGCAGTCCGTAAAGATGTCTTGAGCACCTACTGTGCACAAGGCACTGTAACAGACCCTAAGGATACAGCTGTGGGTACCCTCATGGAGCGGACAGTCTGGTGGGGAGACAGACCATCCATAATTAAAGTGTACGATAATGTCATATCGCGAGAGACGTAGCTGTTAGCTGCCATTGAGTTGGCTCCAATTCATAGATAGCCTATGAACAACCGAAGGAAACACTGCCCAGTCCCCGCGCCATCCTCACGGTTGTGATGTTCAAGCCTGGGGTGAGAGATACCACTTTAAAATAATGTAGGGGGATGAGGTGGAGAATGATGGGGACTGCTATTTCCAATGAGGTGGTCAAGGAAGGTCTTTCAAATAAGACGACCGTAACACTCAGAGGTTAGTCTAGGGTGGAACACACACACACACACACACACACACACACACACACACACACACGGGATTGAAGACAGGGAATTGATTAAGAGGGAGATAGAAGAGCCAAGAAGCCGCATGAGATGATAAGAAAACCCAGCAGTAAGCCCGATCAGAAAGGTGCTGGAGGGACACAGGACAACGAAAGTCTGGTGAGGGTCCGAATGGGAGCTGGGAACATGGGGAGTTGCAGTTATTGTCCGAAGATCACTCTCCCGCCTCCTAGCAGAAAAAGGAGGAGAAATACCTTAACGTCTTACTTCGTCCCCACTCTCCAACCGCCCTTCAGTGCTTTGCATTGGGTGGCCCTAAGAGGAAGCCAGGGTGCAAAGATGACTGGGAAAAGTGGTTTTCAAGAAGAAATCAGGGCATGATTCTGACCTGCACACTGGCTGAGCAGAGAAATAAATGAAGTCAAGTAAGAAGCCATTTGGACACTGAGTAGTAATAACATTCTGGGTAGAGGAAACGGCCAGTGCAAAGGTCCTGAGGTGGGAATGTGGCAAAACCTTGGGTCCAAGCAGTGAAGAATTGGGGGGGGGGGG